GATTGACTGCCAGTGCGCTCTGAGGAAAACAGAAAAACCCTGCCTCTTCAGGCTTCTAAACGGCGGCCAGATCGGGAAAGGAATATCTAGCAAGGCTTTCTGTCCTACAATTACGCTGCTCACCCTCTTCCGTACAAGCCCAGATCTACCAAACAATTATCCCCAAGGAGGGAAGAGGTCTGGAAATTCTGACGCCGATCACAGAGGAAATGAAGCATCCCTTTCTGTGGAGGACAGAACGCATCAAGATCATGTGCATTCGCTCAATGAAGGGGTTAGTGTCACTGAAACTGTTTTGAAGATTGAAAATTGAATTGGTATTTATGGGGCCCGCGGGACAGAGAAATCGTTATTAATACAATCGGGAACATTGTGCCTTGTGAGTCGGGACTAATCATTTGAGTATTAATGGGGTTTTCCAGGCCCTTGTCATGCCCTAATGCCTTCTTTCTCCTTGCACAAACAATTGCACTTGCAGTGAGTGTGATCCAATTGCCTAGTGCACTTTTGGTCAGATGTACCGCAGATATCCGAATGTTGCCTCCATGGTCCATAATACTCCATATCCCTACGGCCTAAAAATACATAACCATAAATCCTTGGGCGAATATTCCTGCCCTCCCTCTCCAACCCCATCTTTTACTAGCTCTCAAAACTACCCCATTTCCCCTATCGAGGCTTTTTTTTTGTTGTTGTTGTAACCCCCTTCAGAAGACCCTCCTCCACCCTTCCTCTGATCAATTACCCTGGTGCATCCCCACCCCGTCTGTCCTGCCTTAGTGTGGACCACCCAGGACCATCACCGATCACCAACTGGCTAGGTGACCTGACACAGACAGCGGTTGCAGGCACCCGGGCTGAGCAGGGGCGCCCCTACTTCCCCACTCAGCCCTGGTTGAAGTGGACGCCGTGCAAGTCCTGTTACACGAATACTTCGGGAGCTAGGTGTGAACGTGCGACTACAGGCCTTCCCTAAGGGGGTTCAGCTCATCCCTTTTGAGAAAGTTTTCAACCTTTGTTCCAAAAGGTTCTCCCCAACCCCTCCTCCCCTCCCACCTGAAAACCAATAAGGCCATCAGTCTCCCGTCTCCAAGGGTACGGACTCTACGGAGTATTTACCATCCAAAGGAAGTCCTGATCAACCTTGACACAAGTTCATGCATCCTCCACTTATGCTTTCAAGTTCCACAAGTTCAGCGTATGTTGTGGTCAAACCCGTTATGACGGTAAGGCTCATGTATGTGTGTCACCTGTAAGTTTTGCTCAGAAGCGCAAATTCCCTAGTGCATTCTAGCTCAGTTGGCTTTGCACGCAAGTAGCATTCAAGAGGTCATGGGTTCAATGAACTTCAATCCGCCATCGCCCTCTGTGGTGTGCTTGGTGTTCACCCGCCAAGATAGCTGGCTTGCTCTTGCTCCCCCCTGTCTGGTCTCCGTAGATCCTACCTACACTAGGGGTTAGACTCGGATGTCTGCCTCTACTACCGGTAGTTGCTCCCCCTGCGGGTTTTGCCAGGTAGTTAGGTAGTGAGAGGTATACTTCGAGAGAAGAATATCGCTTGTTCTTTTTTTTTTTTTTTTTTTTTGAAAAGAAAAGAAACGTTGAGTAGTTTTTCCATAACCTCCATCAACCAGCCAAATAGGTTGAAATAGCGGATGACACTCAAACACAGGCAAACAAAAGATCACACGTAGCGTGACAAAAGCCATTGGAAAACTACCATCTTCACCCGTAGATCCTACCTACACTAGGGGTTAGACTCGGATGTCTGCCTCTACTACCGGTAGTTGCTCCCCCTGCGGGTTTTGCCAGGTAGTTAGGTAGTGAGAGGTATACTTCGAGAGAAGAATATCGCTTGTTCTTTTTTTTTTTTTTTTTTTTTTACGAAAAGAAAACAAACGTTGAGTAATTTTTCCATAACCTCCATCAACCAGCCAAATAGGTTGAAATAGCGGATGACACTCAAACACAGGCAAACAAAAGATCACACATAGCGTGACAAAAGCCATTGGAAAACTACCATCTTCACCCGAATAGAATGCCCGGTAATTATCTGGGCTGAAAGTTGTGCCAAATATCACTGTATCTGGGCTGAAAGTTGTGCCAAATACAGCTATAATGACCGGGTGTTATATTCGTGTGAAGACGATAGTGTCCAGAACACAAAAAGACCAAGAGTGATGAAAAAAAGCACACTGGTGTTTTTCTAACCTCTGTTTTTCTGCCCACTGTTTTCCCAACACACTGCATAACTACGGTTGAGCAGGGTATGACCACGTAGCACACCTGCCAGCCCAGGATTCTCTGAAGCGGCGAGATTGAAGCAAGAGCGACACATTACATGCTACCCACATGCAATGTTGCATGACGAGGAAGCCAGCAAACACAACAAGCAGACCAAGGTCGGCATGGCATATAGGCATGCCAACGGAGTATGGGCTATATGCATGCAACTCTCAGGGTCGTTCTCAGAACCCAGTATGTCTCTAACTAGCATTAAACCACCAGTACTTGGCCCAGCTATCGGCCACAGAGAAAAATAGAGTAGAAATGTTTCTAGTTGGATGAATTTGGGCGCTCCTGTAGTGACTCATACATTTCCTAAACTCATGGCTTGTTAACGGGCACGACCTTAGGAAGTACTGGTGGTTGACTTTAATCATTCGATCAACATGTGTGTGTTTGACAGGTGCGGCTAAAAGAATGAAGCATTCCATAATATAGAATCGTGACTCGCATCTCTCTTCTGTGGTGTGTATGTGTGTGTGTGGAAGCCACACACACACACACACATACACACACACGCACACACACACTCAGGCGGATTGATGCAGCTAGGGTTAGTGCTTCTGCCGTTGGGTATGCAGTACTATGCACGGCTGAGTGGGTGTGCAGATGGGTTTTATGGCTGTGTCAGATTAGTTTCTCAAACTTACTCCCATTCTTGTCAGGGGTTTGGACCGACAGTCTGCTAGGATTGCAGGGTTGGTGTGTGTAAAGGCGAGCAGTTTTCTCAGGGGTATCGCTAACTCTGGGCGACGTGGTGAGTCCTTATCCATCAGTCAAATGCATCACTGGCAGACTGTCGGGGTTCCTGACGAGTCGGTCAAAGTTCGATGAAAGAGTCTCGCACAGTCATGCTTTCTTTGTGGAATTGTGTGTAGTGAATATGACACCACACACACACATAGTAGCACAACAATCTATGTTTTCTTGTAGATTGAAAAAAGCTATATAATATATGTGCAAGTGTGCCGCTTTGGCGGCAGACGGATCTGCGGGCACTTCCTGCTCAACCACACAAACGTGGGGAACCTCACATCTTCTATTATATTGTCCGCCTATACTTTTGTTTGTTTTATGGTTGGTCTGTGATGGTTTGTGGATGGGATGAGAGAGAGAGGTTCACACACACACACACACACACACACACACACACACACACACACACACACACACACACACACACAATCAGTTTGTGTATGTCTTTCTCTCCCTTCTCTGTGTCTTTCTTTCTTCCTTTGATTTTTTCTAAGTCTTTTGCCTGTCTAAGTGAGCATCCTTAAGCAGTGCCAAGCAATCGGTCATTCCTCGTTTGGAGTGCCTACAACACTCTTAAGGGGGCCGCTCAGTTTGGGATGCCTGTGTCTTCTGCGGGTTAGGATAGATGTCTGTCGGAGTACCTCCGTGGCTCAACGGGTGGTGGAACCAACAGTCTGCGGGGTTCAATGGTGATGTGAGTAGGTGATGTGCCGCTTTGCTCCATGTTGGATGTTTGGACTGCCTTGTCTGCGCTCCACCGCTGCCTTGCTGCCCGTCCTGCTTGCTTTGCATGTGGTTCTTTGTAAGCTGTTGTGTTCTCTGGGTGGTGTCGCTGAGGTGTCGGTCTTGCCGTGTGGTTACCTATGCTGCTGCTTTGCTGCCCTTCCTTCCGTGTCTTTTGCTTGTGTGCAGTGCCGCTTGGCTGCCTTGCTTGTGTTGCCTTGTGCTTCACTGCACCGCTGTTGTGCTGCTCGTCCACTTGCCATGTCGTTCTTTGCAGTCCTCTTTTGGCATTGAGCAGCCATGTTGCCTCTGCAGTGTTGCCTGGTGCTTCGCTGGGTTGCTGCCTGCTGCTTTGTTCCGTTGGGGGGACAGTCTGCCTTCACCAAGGGTCAAAGGGTTCATGACCCAAACCATCAGTGCGGGGATTCCGCAGATTGTCGAGGGTTCAGCCTCCTGATGAGTCGGTGCAACTCCTACGAAACAATCTATCATCATAAGTTTTTATCTTTTTTTTTTTTTTTTTTCAGTCTTTGACTCTTTGCATTTTCGGGGGACTTGTTTTTTTTTTTTTTTTTTTTTTTTCCTGGTTTGCTGGTAACAGCAGCTGGTTGTTGTAGTTTCCCTGCATTATGTGTCCGCGTGTTGTCTGCCCTCCCGCCTCCCCCGTGTCCTCCAGCCTATGTGTTGTCTCAAGTTTTTCCTCCACCCATATGCCCTCCGGTATGTGTGCCATGTTGTGGCCTGTCATCCAATAGCGCATTGCCTCCTTACACCTGGCTTCATTGTCTTACCTTTCCCCCTTCTTTTGTGTTTGTTTGTGATGTACTGTTGTGTGTGTGTTCTGGGTCATACCACAGCTGCATTCAAGGCAATGATGCTTCAACAACGTTTTTTCTTCCTTACCTTCTGCAGATGGATGCGTCTGCCCCATGCCCACAAGTAGTTCCACGAAGCACACTAGACGTTTTGGCCACACCCTGTCAAGTTTGCACGAGTTGCGTTGTTGGTAGGGTACACTATGCCTGCTATGAGTGACCACGGTGTGCCGACGCTTTTCAGCATTGGAGAATTTGCTTGGCATAGTGTTCGTGCCAAGGCGTGCCTGCGTGCGCACACCCTCAAAACACACACACACGCACACACACACACACACACACACACACACACACACACACACACACACACACACACACACACACACAATGGTCTTACAGATGGGGGTTGGTCAGACTCACCAGCATTTGGGTGGTTGAACAACCATCTCGTAACTTCGATGCGATGTTTGACAGATTGTTATTGCGCCATTGATCGTACAGAGAAGATGATTCAATTGTGAATTCCCTGGGAAGATGCTGCTCGGCGGGATGATCCCAGTTCCAGAAGGGAATGGTAAACGAGAAGTCGTTGATTAGCCATCCCAAGATCAATTCATGAAAGTAGAGGTACGCGCGGTGCCATGGAAGGAACAACCAAGAGCTGTGCATATCAAAGCTGTATGCAAAACTGCAATATGCGCAGTGAATCTGCAAAAGATGACATTGTCAGTTATTCACCAGGAGATCAGCCACTGGCACACTGAAAGGTACCTAGAAGTCCACATAAGAGTGCTAAAAAAAAAAAAAAAACACGATTACATAAGAGTCGGATAAGACTCTGATAAGAGCCATGTAATTGAGCAAGCAGGGGCCAAAAAGACTCTGGCAGTCTCTGCACTATTAGGAAGGGCAAAAATTATCAAAATTTTGGACCATTTCTCGATTTATGTGTGTCATCCTTGTTCCAATTTTGATGCATGTCCCAAAGGACCAGGAAAGAGAGAAATGGACAGAGAAGGGGAAAGGTTTGTGGGCTGCAACATACGATGCAAGCACTGGATGGGAGCATGCAAATAAATGGTGTCTGTGCTGCCCTCTTGACATAGGCTCATAAGAAGAATACAGGTTAATTGTCATCCTTCAAATCCCATCGTGTTGCACAAACCGGTAAGACAAGGGGACCCTTTAGCCTGTGATAAGCCAAGCTCCGTACCTCGAGGCTTCATGTACCTTTCAGGATAAACCCCGAAGTAATCCCCAAGTACGAACCTTGATGAGCCATGGAAGGAAGGAGTCCATTTCAAAACGTTGATGGCCATCTGCATGCATCTTTCGGGTTTGTCCTTAGTGACCACAGGGGAACTTCAAGAAAATGGTTACAAATTCGGTTGAGATAGTTTTACTCTTTGTGCTTAGCCTGAGCACGCCATGCTGGAATTCTTGCTCGACTACGCAAGCTGGCTTCCCGCTTTGCGCGCTAGCACCAACTTCTTTTCTTGTTGTCCTTCGTCTACACGCATCCCTTTGTCTTCCTCTCGCCCCTTGTTGTATCCTCCCCCTGTGTCCTTTCGTGCAATTGATTGGTAGCCAGTTGGAGGGTCGGATCAAGCCGTAAGAGCGAACTTACATGTCCACCTTGAACGACCACCTCAATTGTGTGAAAATTTCAATCGACCTGCCTTTCTCGACTCTCTAGAACCTTCCTTCTTTTGTCCTCATCATCAACACCCCTCGCTGCCTGCATTAAGCGTTGGTGCCCCGCCGCCTTCCTCTATAGCGATCTCCCCCTTTCCCAATTGCAGACTAAGACGGACTTTACTGCAATGCGGACGTATGGAGGACCTTATTGTGGACCGATCGGGTTCACTTTTATTAATCCGTCAAAGGCGTGTCATATAGGGGGAGTTGGGTTTGTATTGATTGATCAGTTCTCGCCCCCACTCTCACCACTGTCAGATGACGAGGATTCCGGCCGATCTGACGGATGACATTGGCCCGACATAGACACATAAAGTGTCTCTCTTCTCCTTGGTTCCCACGAAAAGGGCGGCTTGAACCTGATGCTCGTAGCCAATCATTTTGCAGATTGAGGGGTTCAGAACCTCTTGACGCGCCGTTGTCCGACTTCTACGGTCGCGACAATATCCTTTCTAGTATCGATGAAGGCGGGAAACAATGTTACGAGAGATGGTGTAAGGCGGGACCAAAATTCAAAAGGATGAAGAAGGAGAGGAAGGCGTGAAAAGGGGGAGAAGGAAAAAGTTACAGTTTTGGTGCAAAGGAGGACAGAGTGCAAGTAAAGTTTGCATGCAAGAGCGCAGGCACGAAAATGCATTTGCGGAAATGCAAAGGCACGAAAACACTTTGTGCAAAATGCAAGTGAAAGTTGCATTTAATTCCTATCACTAATTTAAAATTGAAAAGTCCGAAAATAAATTATGAGCGCGCTCTTTAAGGCACGCGAAAATCCTACATCGATTCTTATCTTCTTCTACTACAAATGAAAATTCACATAAGTTGCAAGGTCATTTCCAAATTTCACAAAAAGAAACACGAACTCCAACGGATTAACCAACGCAAGCCACCCATGGACACCCCACCAAAGACGAAGCTTGCAGAATAATGTCGCGATCCAAAAAAGGAAACCAAAAACGTAGTGTACAACCCCTTTAGAAAAAGAAGTTGAAAGGGGTCACCATATAGGAGCTTGTGTGGACACGTAAGCTGGGGTGTAGCAACGTGGCAGTGGAACCCAGAGCAACGATTCTCTTTAGACCTGCCAAACGGGAAGACCGCCCTAGGCCTATGCTGGGTAATCATCAGGATGGGTCACCATAATAGTACCAAGTTAACAGCAGGATTTGCAACGAGGTCGATCACAATGGCCGCATTGCCTCAAGGAGTTTGTCCTCAATTATCGACCATTGCTTCCCTTGTTGCACACACTGGTGACCGTTGTCGGGACCTCTAGTTCTCGAACATTGTCCCGACCGGTGAGAGCCGATATATAGCTAAGTTGTGCACGACAGAGGAATCCAGAGAAAGGAGACAAGAGGGAGAGAAAGGAGTTAGGACTGGGACGGGACCTCCGGGAGGAAGGATGCCCTGGGCTGAGTGCCGCAGGATGAAGGGACCCGACGATGTTGAGAAAGTAAGTGACGGGACGTGGGCGCATGGGGGCATAGGATGGGGCCAGGAGGGTCATTCGAATTCATCATGGCAAGGGCCCGAGGGGCCATGAACTGAGCAAGCGAGGCGCGGGGGATGACAAGAGAATAATGAAGCGGAGAGGTGGACAGCCCTGGTGGCCGCGGAACACTAGAAAATAAGGACCCCGACGTGGGGCCCACCTATGACAATTAACCGAAACCACGGATTGGAGGTCCCGCGGCTGGAGAGATCGGCGCGCGCGGGGCTCGAGAAAAGACAAGGAAAGGGGACCACCATAGGGCGGTAGACGCCAAAAGAAACCGGGACACCATGAGGAAAGGTACCAGGGACCACATGTGGCTAAGTAAAAATAATGGTATCCGGGACAAACTATCGACGGGACCACCGGCGGGACAAGTATTGGGGGGGCCGCTAGCGGGACAAGTACTGGCGGGACCACCAACAGGAGTGTCGAGGAATAGCACGGGACAAGTGACGGGGACATAAAAAAGGTCTCAAGAAGAACTGCGGAGCGGCGTGAGGGAAAAATAATTAAAGCAAGGTGCACCGTCAAGATCAAGATCTTGACGGCCAAAACTATTAGCACCACTAGTGCAAGCACTAGTGGGAGCAAATGGGAAGACCACAAGGGAAAGGAAAAGTAAGGAAACATGAAGGGGGAGGCAAGGGAGCAATCCGGAAAATCTCGGATTAGCCTCCCTCAAGAAAATGGAGTCAAAAGAGACTCCCTGTGAAAAATAGGCTTCCGGGAGAAAATCGGAGTACGAGGGGGCACTCTGTGAGAAAAATAGAGGTAAAAGGAGACTCCTATGGGCATGAGGGAGCCACAGTTGCAGTCGGAGATATAACGAACTGCACCTTAGGCATAGGAAGGGCCAAAACGAAGAGGTGGGGCATAGAAAGAGGCCTTAACGGCTAGTTGACACTTGACATATCAGGAAAAGAGAGAAAAAGAAAAGAAAAAGGTGAGAAAAAGGAGGATGAGAGGGAGTGAGTGAGTCGGCCGTTAGTAGGACTGGCACAAGTACGGACTGACAGGTCCCTACTGTTCAAAAATGGATAGAAAATAAAAGAAAAGAAAAGAGAAAAGAAAAGAATAGANAAAAAAAAAAAAAAAAAAAAAAAAAAAAAAAAGGGCACTAACAACCAAAAACGACCACTTAGGGTGATACATCCGTAACCAGATTCATTCTGGCATATGTCCGTTACAAAGTATCTTGATTTTCTCTTGATTTTACAGAGAAAATCAAGAAAAAATCAAGAAAATTCAATAGAACTGATTCTGACATTGTTTGGGGTAAGAAACGGAGACCCGTATTTTTCGGTTCTCCCACCTTGGGCAAAAACGTCAAAAATCTGCAAAATCTGCAAAATCTGCAAAATCTGCAAATCTGCAAAATCTGCGTTTTGCAAAATCTGCGTTTTCTGAAATCTGTGTTTTTTGCAAGTCTGTGTTTTCTGCATCTCGGCTGTAGGTCTAGTTGCTGCAAATCAGAATTTTTTGAAGTCTGGAGCTAGGGATAACTTAGAGGAGACGAGACCGTACACTTAGAATAGGAAGAGATACTGTACACCTCGCAACTTCTTCCTCCTCCACCTTCTTCACCCATCCACCATATCCAACCACCTGGCACCCTCTCCCTCCTCCATCTTCTTCACCCATCCACCATAGCCAACCACCTCGCACCTTTTCCTTCCTCCATCTTCTTCACCCATCCACCATAGCCAACCACCT